GCGGTCGTGCACGGCTGGGCGCGGGCGCTGGGGCAGCACGTGCGGGTGCATGATGACGAATTGCGGCGACTGCCGACGGCAGTAGACGACGACAGTGATTGACCGGAAAGTACAGATCTTCAAGGTTCAAAATATATCTCCTTAAGATCTTCTAATAGTTTACCTAAACACCTATTTCAATTAATCTTGGTGGTGTGATTAATTGAATCTCTCAAACACTCGAACAAGCCAATTTTTCTCTCTTGGAAAGAAGGAAAAATCGGCCAACATAACACATGTACAAGAGGTTGGGACATGGTGTATTTATAGACTCCATTAGGGACCTTAAGGAGGTGCTAAATATGGGCTTATCCCATTAGGAGAAGGAATCCTAATTCTACTCCACATATCTTTCCAATCTAGGATATAAGAGTATGTTTGTTTATAAAAATTTTTGGTTTTGTTTGGAGTTTTTGGTTTGGTTTGGTTAATTTTGAAAAAAGTGATATGGTTAGATGTTAGTGAGTATATTAAAATAATATTTATAATAAAATAATTAAAATTGATTTGATGTAAAAGTAGGAGAGAGATATTTGAAGTGATGATTAGTTAAAATAATGTGAGTGGATGAATCGTGAATTAAGGTTGATGTGGTGTGTATGAATGATTGATTGATATTATTTAATTATATTGATAATTTTGATAATAGTGGCGTTGAGTTAAAGTTGAGTTAAAAAAAGTGATTAGGTTAAAATGTTGGAATTTTTTTGAGAAATTCCATAAACAAACATCTCCTAACTCCTTCTTCCGAACATCACCTTCTAGAAGACTCTTTAGTCTCATAACCCTAGGTAATATTCTAGAAGGAATATTCTCCTACTAATAGAATATTATATATGGAATAAAATTAATTCCTAAAATCCTAATTAGAATTAAATAATAATACATCCCACTAGAGTAATATTATTTCTCTCCCCATTTAGCTCCAATTTATTCAATAAATCAAACCTCCACTTGATTAATAAATATTAATCTAATTAACCGATTTACCTCCCTATGTTTAAGATATAACGTCCATTGATTAATTAAATTACTGACAAAATAAGTAATCAACTTCTTATTCATTTCCGAAACTAGTACCACTCAGATCATTAATCATTATATCAGAACACATCCACCTGCAGGGCTTGACATAGTATTCCTTCCTGAGTTCATTTAGGGGACGTCATCAACCCAGCGCACTGGGACATAGTAACTGTAATAATTTATAACAACACATCATATAAACACTCTTATTTACCGAAGTACCGAGTATGTCATCCTAACAGAATAGGAATCACCATTGGTAAATCAAATAAGCAAGTAATGAATACATATGTCCGTTTTATATTATCTTACAGCTTTAGAGAACGCATCAATAGCTGAAGGTCTAGATTACAACAATGGTTAGTGAGTCTCATAATCTTGTGAAAGATGCGGGCGAAATTCCCGCCAATGGCTGAGATTTGGAGTAGCGATCGAAAGACTAAATCCACGGTCCTGTTCAATACTTAACATAAGTACTAGTGTAGTTCTCTAGTCAAAATCAACTGAATCAAGAATACACTACAGTCTTTTTCCAAGAGGGGCCTCACTGCCTGTCTAGACTGTGAACGAATAGTTTAGTCTTACAAGGGACCGATAGGTGACGTTTCTGTTCGAGACACCACGAATCAAACTATCTCAATGTAAGATAAGGAGTATGATTGCATAAATAAATAAACTGCAAACATATGTACTTTGACTGAAACATGATTGCCAGATCAAAATGGAATTGTTCATATATGAAAGCCAAACTTTTACAACATATCTAACAATCTCCCATTTATGCTTAATAAGCTCATGGCTATCACTAACCGCAATTTTCTTTCAATCTAATTTTTAAAGAACTATTGTCCTTTATGCCATACATCCGACTCCCAATCCTTTAACATGGCCATCTTCCGCTTTCGCCGGAAAGCCAATCCTAAAAAGATTCACTTGGTTATCTACCGATGTAACTAGTCGACAAACATCCACCCTGTCGCAGTCCTTAGCAACGGGCGTACTTGCTCTATGTGCCACTTGCTTTATGAACTAGTGATTCCTTTCTGTCTTAACTGCACCAACTGTCATCATAATCAATTATGACCTGACTTGGTTTGACAAGGTTTCACATTTTTAGTTCAATTGGCGAATCCAATCTCTACGTAGCTCGCAATTTGGGAAGGAACGTACTAAGTTTCTTATGGTGGAATCTGTCAACGTATTACCGCTTGACATTTCTCCATTCTACTTGGCTCCCACAAGTGAACATAAACCATAAGGTGGTTTTTATTTGTTGTTCATGTCTGATTAGAAATCAGAATCCTCTATAACCCATAGGTTGCTTATGGCTCGTGTAGTAACCCTACATATTATCCTTAGCCCTTTTACAGCGCTTGATCATATGTTCTACCTTGAACCAATTGCTCCTGTCTAGGATTACTTTGATATCTACTTATTATGCCCTTGGAAATAATAGACATTAGGTCTCATTTACCACACTGCACATACTAGGATTCCTTTTGCCGAGGACAAGGAGCTGCCTTTGTGTCATGCAAATTTCGAATGAGCCTTGCGATAGTATCTGTATAATCGCAACATATCTTTCTTTTGATTCTCAATCTCAAGAATATTTGTTGATTCCGAATCCTTCATATCCAACTACTTGGATAACCATACCTTTGTGTCTGTCAACATTTTCACACTGTCTCCAGTGATCAAGATGTTGTCTACACATAGTACAAAAATACCATCACGCTTCCATTGCGCCACTCACAATGAGCATTTGTTGAATAATCGAATCCGCGATTCAAACTTATCAACCAAATGACCAGCTCATCATAATCCATAAATGAACTGTTTCAGCCTACTGACTAGATGCTCTTAGCCCTTCTTTCAATGCATACTTCTGGGAGCTGCTCTATGGATATTCTCACAAGACTCCTGGTTAATGAAATGTCTTGACATCCACTTTGTCTAATCTCATAACTCATATGAGTGGCTTCAACTTTTAAATTAGGCTACGTGTGAAAAAGCTAACTCATAATAGATCCCATTCTTTCTAAGTCTACCATTTCACAATAAGCCTTTCATTAGTACAGACTTAAACATGGCTACCGGTGAAAAAGCTAACTCATAATAGATCTCATTCTTTCTGAATCTGCTATTCTACAACAAGCCTTGCACTAAAGTCTTCACTTATTGATTTCTTCCAATAGCCCGTATGCTATTTGGTAGTTCTATAAAAACCCAGATCTTATTAGAGTCCATGACTCCAAATCAGAAACCATTAAAACTTTGCTAAGTTTCTACATCTTTGTCTTGGATCTACTCATTGTATAACTAGGGATAGATTCAAGTTTACTATAAAGACTAAGTCCGAGACTTTCTCAAAACATGAATATCATGATCTCGTGTTTACTAGAGAATGAGTCCAACGACTCTCTCATTGTCACGATTTCATGAAGTTGTCTTGCAACCCTCCCACTACAACGAGGTTCCCTCTGCAAAAGTGTATAGCACAAAATACGTATTGCAGTCTTTATTGTGGTATCACATTTGTACGCTTGGTAACAAAGTTGAACTTTCAATTTTATTTTTCCTCAAAACAATTCTACAAATGGGCTTTGTGGTTTATTACTTAGTATTCCTCTAAAAATCAGGCATTCGTGCTAACGACTACCTTCTGACTTTTAGTACTATAAAATAATCCACTCATTTCTCGTTACTATGAAGTATCCCACAAATAGCGTAATTTCCCAACAACCTTTCCAATCTTATTAGTATCAATCTTTCTAACACATGTGTCGAAAATACTCTGAATCTGAATGTGTTCCTGACTAGGCCTATGCCTTCGTCTACAATTCATTCAGAGTAATGACTACTAACTTCGATGGAACTATGTTCAGAACTTATCCTACTATTTGTACAACTCCAATACGAAAAAGTGAAATTCCTAATAACTCATCCTTGACATAACCAATCTACTTAAAAGACATTTTCCTTCGTCAAGTGGCATCTTCCTGTTCCGATGAACTAGGTGCAACCCGTTGAGACCAAATCTCAACCTCCAATAAGTATTTTCATGATTTTTCCAAAAGGTATTAATCACTACGATTTTGATCGTAATGCCACTGATACATTAACCTTGACATTTTTCCATAACTGCCATTGCACTGTTTCGATATACTCAAGCTTATGGATTGTCACATAATGTACCCTGTTTTGAACAAATTTCTTCGAAGAAAAATATTCAAAACTACCTTTTGTCCTAAAAATCATAGAACTTTACAAATCGGATGAATCAATCCCAACATTTATTTGGCTTCTAAATCCCTTGACCTACAAAAGGTCATTTATGTTATTTTAGTTGCCAAGTATAATTCGTAGGTCTGATAGTTTCATCCATTCCTAAGAACCCATATGTTTAGTGGCTATCCACCTTTGAATTCTACTAACGCTAAAATCCACAAACATTAGATTCCACAATAATGTATGATTCATTTATTGAAGGACCTTTCTTCTTATTGGTTCTAGTCGATGTGCTATTTATTTCATCTACTGCACTATGAGATACTTTGGCTCGTTGAGTTCATAAATTGTCTACCCACATACCAAATGGATAAAACGTCATATTTTTACCCATACCCAATTTAAAAACTGAATACGAGTTCTTTCTAAAACTTGGCACGTAAAGACAATTAATCAAAATTTTTATAGAAAACTCTTTTGGAGATATTTTGGTTTATTTGAGTTTATAAATTGTTTAACTTTGTGCCAAATGGATAAAACATTTTGCTTTTCAAAACAGCAAATGTAACCTACATACACAATTTAGAAACAAAACGTGAGTTCTTTCTAAAACTTGGCACATAAAGACAATTATTCATAAACCAAAATTTCTATAGAGAACTCCCACTGCAATACTCGCCACTTTCGTAGCAAAACTCATTCTAGATGGTAATCTACCTATCACATGTCTATTGGTTTCCTGGAACCTTTTTACATAATTAGTGGTTACGTATCTATTCACCAGGTACTGATAGATAACACCATTAAAAATGTTCCGACTTTCTAGTGAACCAAGATTTACCTTTCTTGTCTTAAGAATAGGACAATTCATCTTCCTATGTCCATTTTGCTTAGACCGGATACACTTGCCCTTTGGTTTGTATTCCTCAGAAATAAGACACTATCCAAATTCTATTTCAAATCATGTTTGAACAAGTAAATTATCTTTGAGAATTACGGACAACGGATTGAAAGACATTTTGAATTCCTGGGATCATGCAAACATAGTCTTTACTCAGTCAAGTGTTTTTGAATTTAACATCAAATATTGATCCAAAAAAAAAATATATTCAAATAAATTCACCGACACCTCAAAACACCAAATCCCCGCAGGCCACTGAGTGTGGACGTCGACGGTTCAAGCCATCGCAAGAGGAGGGATTAATCCCATTAATTAACATATCGTCCAAACATTACTTAATTAATAGTCGGTCCAACTTTTGGCCAGCACAAGAATAAAAACAACCTTTTCTTTTGGGAATATCGTAATTATTTGCACTTTTAAGTGTAACCCATTAATTGGTACTAAGTTTACTACCAAAATTATACGTCCACCTTTGGGTGACCCGTACGCTTTTGAAATAGCTCGCTCCTTAAGGAGATCTGTCCTTGTGAACTGTGAAATAAAATGTCCTTTGGGCTCGATTTAAATTAATTCACTGACAAAACTATAATGGAGGCCTTGTATGTAATTTATTTCAACCCATCACAATCTAAGAAATGAGGAAACTGTAAAGGAGTCGCAGTGGATGTCATTTGCCCAATGTGTGGCGAGGACTTAGAAACTATCGAACATCTTTTCCTTAATTGCAGGAGGGGCCAAGAAAGTGTGGAAACTGGCACCCTTGGATTGGGATAGGATTCAAACTCAGTATGGCAATTTCAAGCAGTGGTGGTGGCAAGTATGTTCTACTGATAGGACTGCAATCTCTGAGGCCTGCATTCAATTATCAACATACATATTATCGTGGCTATGGAGGTCCAGAAATCTATGACTTTTCCAAGGAGTGAAGCTGCCGGAGGATATCACAGTGAGAAGAGCCTGATAGGAATGGCAGGAGTTTTCTCTTTTGGCATAGTGTGTAGCATTGATGTTTTTTCTTTAGTTGTTTTTCCTTAAGTTTATATGCAGTTTTCAGTTACTTTGGTAGCCTTTCTTTGTTCTTTTTTTCCTGTTTGGGTGCTGGTTGCCTTATATCAGTTCGGTTTGTGTTGCTGGTTGGTTATTAACTTGGTTTCAGGTGGTTCATCCCGAGGTTTTAATGTGCATGTTGCTGCCTCTAGATGTGTTAGTCGGGTAGTGTTTTTAGGTCACTTTTTAGTGGTCGTCCCAGTGTGTTTTAGCATGTGTGGGCTTGTTGTTACTCTGATTTTTACCAAAACTTGTGTTTCTTTGATTTCATGAGAAGTTTCTATCGTTGAGAAAAAGATAACCAAAAAAAATAAAAAAAAATAAAATAAAATTATGGACATTATTCCGAACCGAAGCACAAAAACTTGGTAGTTAAAAAACTCGAAAACTTTCTGAGAGATGAAGCCAATGGGTACTTCTTTCATACACTCGGGTGTACAGTAGAAAAGAGTGGCCTTTCGGCTAAGACGCCCGATCCACGAAAAGTAACAACCAGAAAAATGATGATATATTTTATATTTGCACATAGGTTTAAGTTATTTTGCATGTTCAAAAAATTCAAAAAATTAAAATTCCTCTTAAAATATAATATATTTTTTTTCTTTTCATCAACTAATGTAATGATTCCAAAAAAGATCATCTTAGCAAACTATTACACCAGCAAAATTTCATGGCAGCCAACTACCAAATCACCATTAGTTAGATACCTTAAAATTNGGAAAACTAACGTTGGCTAATTATAAGTTAAAAAAAGGGAAAAATAAAAGATGAAACGACACGAAATCTACATGATCCTCACAAGGGAGCTGAGCTCGTCCTACGCAATTGATACTTTGGCTCTGGTGGTGGTATGGTCGGTAAAACCTTCTCCCACTCCTGCAAGATCATAATTAAAACATCTAGGGACGAAATTTGAAAGCAAGAAAAGACTATATAATCACAGTTTTACATTTTTATCTAAAATATTTATGATATAATTTAAAGAGTACTCTTGATGTTTAAAGTTTAAACTAATTACAATTGAATTTGGTCATTTTCTTCACTAAACTTTATGCTTCAGGTATTGCAAATATAAAATTAAGGTTCATGCATAACCGGAGAAACCCTGAGATATCTTTTTTAAAAAAAAAATACACATGGCGCAATTTGTAATATGATTCTACGATAACATATGCCAAGGGGATAAATAACAGGGAATCTCCAACAACAACAACAACATACCCAATATATTCCCAACAAGTTGCCCAACAAGTTGGGGTCTGGGGGGTCAGTTGTACGCAGACCTTACCCTTGTAATTATACAAGGAGGCTGTTTTCGTAGCGACCCAAGGTGCATTGCGCCGTTTGATATATTTTTTTTTTCTAGAAACTTCACTAATAGAAGAAGCACTAGAATTTAATTGAGCCATTTTGATTTAGTCCATTATTAGCACTATGCCAGGAGAATTGTCAACAATGACTCTTCCAGCTCCATTTGCAATGGACAAAATTGAGACACTAAATACACTATTCTTTGATCATGTCACATCAAAAGCATTATTTTGTTGCATTTTTTTTATGGGATATTTACTAGTGCTCCTTCCAGAGGACTATTTTGATTTGGCAAAGATCAAAATAATATCTATATCTGACCTATACACCGGAAAACGAGGCAGACAGACCCAATGACCTCTAAAACTTGGGCAATGTCAACTCAGCTATATCTCACAGTGAAATAACTAAGACATAATTCAATTTTCCGAAATGTGAATTCCTGGTCGTCAGAGCATATGAAACTGGAGATATTCACATGAATTTAATTCAGGCATACTTAGAGAGAGCCAATATTCAGTATAAACGACAAATCTGGAAGGTACAACTTTATTTTATTTCCTTTTCTTATTCCTTTTATTTATAATGTAGGGCAGGGTTCTTGAAATTCAGTGCATCCCATCTTCATTTCCATTCCACATGGGATAAGCCGAAACAGATATAGGTACTACTAGCAAAAAATGGACCAAAAAAATAGCAAGTCTTGTGTATATCTGATATATCTATGTGGGATTGTATACAATGTTTATTCAGCTAGATGGACAATTGACCCTTACAAAAACTAGGGTAAGGAGGAAAACACTATCACTTGCAAAAAAAAATAAAAAAAATAAAAATCGAAAACCAGTATGTTGATCTGTATATTTGAATACCCTTTTTCATTTAACAGCTAAAGCTCCCAATAGTATGGAGAATTTCCTGGATGAAAACCATCGTAGTATTTCAAATCAAGTTCTTTCCAGGAAGCAGTGATTTTTCAACATCTTTCTTTCTCTCTCTCTTTTTAGATTAAAAGGCACACTACTATCTAATGGTGAGAGGAGATTTCATTCCAATTCTTGGAAAAAAATGAATTTCGTGCATTGATCAATGCTTGTAAACTAGAAGTTGATGACACAGAAAAGCATGCTATGGGGTCAATCAACAAAGGACGGAAAGGAAAAAGACAGTACTTCCTAAATTATATTCAACATACAAACGAAAAAGGTTTTATAAATCCATGCGAAGTTGACTAAGAAGTTTCTCATGCTTGGACCCATGGAGTAACAAATAGAAGCTGAAAACAAAGAGAGCTCTTCAGGACTTGGATAGTTATTTACGTGTTAGTTTCAATAAATGTACTACGGAATTTTTGGGGAGGTGAAAAATGACATTCGAACATCAGTGGTACATACAATTTCTAACCTTGTAGGAGCCCAAAATGCAAAATGAATCTTATGACTTGTTGGGTTGTCTACTTAGTCCTATACTCATTGAGCAGCATGAACAGCTCGGTACGAGCCATTTATATGGTCAACGAGTTCGAGAAATGTCCTTATCATTGACTCCCACTAAGAAATAACTATATATTGTGTGTGAATTTACAAATACCCACTTTATAATTGATTTGGTGATACAAATATTCACGAACTATGAGAGTGAAATAATTGTTAAAAACAATGCAAGTGAAGGGGGTGTCTGACTGTCTGTAGTACCTTGAGGTTTAATTTTTAACTCTGAAAAGATAATTGGGTGTTTTTTATTTTTTTAAAAAAAAAAGTAAGTCCAACCTCAAGACTACCTTTGTAATGACCTCTTTATAATACAGAGATCGACGAGACAACAAAGCAAAACACCTCAGAATTAAAGACATCCAACATCAGCAATTTGTAGACTAAGAGCAAGCAAATAAGCAATTGCCAGTTTGTATATTAACTTTCATTGTACGTGACTGTGAAATATGTTATCCAAGTAAGCAAATTTTTTGTGGCACAAGTAGATGAAATCAACAAACTTGGCATACAAACACACATACACACGCAAACACTAAAAAAAGAGTTGCTAGTCCAATGACAGCACTAACTTCTGTAGAGAAAAAAAATATCCAGTTATCTTACTATTCTAAAATATTCCAGGAAACGACACTCAAACAAAACAGAGTGTTCTGTTTCAGTTTAATCAATTACTGCACCAAATCTAGGACTACATATGATAGTCAAGTTGCCAACTCCGTATTCCAATTTGTTTTTTAATGAATAAGTAAATGCAAGTAATGCATGAGTAATCCATGTCTTACCTCTTGAGGTTTAAGCATTTCATGCTAATCCAGTGTTTGTATTCAACAGCAAAATAACAGTATTCCCATTATCTCTTGTGGGATAATAACTAATATTGATGACAATGATGACTGTACTTTAACAAAATCTCCTTACCTAGTAATTATCAAGTGGAAATGAACTAAAAAGACAAGGCAGTTTCTCTCAGTTGACAAACAACAACACACGCTCAACATACATTATAGTTTAGCACAATATGCAAACATGTGCTTCAAAACGTCACAGAAAAACATGTAGACCATAGAGAGAGTGCTAACCTGTTGTCTTTTGAGCCTTTCGTTCTCTTCCTCGAGAAGTGAAACCTTGTTCTCAAGCTCATGGGTGTATGCCTGTGCATTAAATATCAAGAACACATGCCTGAACCAATAGAAAGAAAAAAAAAAAAATGGAAACACACACACCCACACAGTGGAATCTCCTATTTACTTATAAAAAATGGTACAAAAAGATTTCAAAAAATACACAAAGTTCACTATTACTCACCCACGTACGTGTAACTTCTCATCGTAATTTTAGTATTTTTATCTTTCATCATTACATTTTCATGTGGCATGCAATCACATTCTCAAGTATCAAAATTCTTTGTCATCTCTTGAAACAAATTCCATAGATTTTAATAAAACACACTATTAAATCACTTTCATCCTTTTCACTATTAATCCACTCACTCATTTATAACTACCAACCATTACTTTATTATCTCTACATCACATTACGTTTCATCATCGCATTTCAATTTCTTATCATCATCGCATTTCAATTTCTTATCCAAAATATTATATCCAATCACTTCACACTAGCTAGGATAAAC